GAAGCTGCAGTGAGCTATGATTGAGCCACTGCACTCCATCCTGGGCAACAGAGCAAGACCCTGTCTCTAAAATTAACAAAATATATATTATGGTACAATGATCAAATACAGGAAATTTAACATTGACATTATAAAGTTCATATTCCACCATTGTCAACTGTCCCAATAACACCCTTGGTAGCACTTCCCCCTCCAGCACAAGGCCCAGTTCCCCAGCATGGATTGCATTTTGTTGTCATTGCTGTTTGTCTCCTTTGATCTAAAATACTTCCTCAGCCTTTCTTTGTCATTAACGACACTGACATTAAAAAAAAAAAATCCAGCTATTGTATAGAATGTTCATCAATTTGTGTTTTCCTGATGTTTGCTCATGACCGGGTTTAAGTTATGCATCTGACCTGAAATACGACATAAATTGTGTTGTGTTCGTTTAAGGGAAAGCCCAACCCAAGCCCTACAATGTCTACCTGCTCCTTACTGGTGATGTTAATTTAATCAAGGTCGAACTTGCTAATGATGTTGTCTGGTTTCTCCATGATATATAGTTACTATTTTGTAACTTGCGAACTTGTAACAATTTGTAAATAATCTGTAGGGAGACCCTTTGAGATCATGCAAATAACCCTGCCCAGTTCAGCTTTCCCCACCTAGATTTAGCATTGAGATAGGAAGCCGGACTCGATTCCAGAGGCAGGGCTTGGGCACTGGACCAAATTGAAGATTAGCTAAAACAGGAATGGGGCAGAAGCAGCTTTCCATAAGACACACACCCCCAAGTGTGCCATGTCAGTTTACCATTGCCATGGCAACAACACCTAGGAATTACCACCCTTTCCCATGGTAACGACCCGATGACCCAAAAGTTACTAATTCCCTAGAAATTTCTGCATAAACCACTCCTTAATCTACGTGTAATTAAAAGTAGGTGTGAATATGACTGCAGAGCTGCCCTAAGCTGCTACTCTCAGCACACTGCCGATGGGGTAGCCCTGCTCTGCAGAGCAGTCACAGAGCTGTAACACTGTCACTTCAATAAGGCTGTTTTCTTCTACCCTACCACCAGCTTGCCCTCTTTCCTGGTTGAAGCCACAGACCCTCATGGGCTAAGCCCTACTATGGGACTTGCCTGCCCTGCATCAGTATCCATTCATGATTTTGCCCTAGCCAACTATTTATTTATTTGTTTGTTT